AATGCAGAAAACAAGAAGATATAAAAAATGAAGAAATATAACAGTATAAAGCAACAAATATATTAAAATAAGAAAACAATCTTGAAAACAAGTGCAAAACGGGAAAAAAATAATTAAAAAGTATGGATTCGAAAAAGAAACAGCAATATAATTGTGTTCGCATACTCTATGTAACTATTGTGACAAGTACACTGTTGACGCCATCTGTTGGGCGAGTCTCCTACTCGCCAGAGCTTAATTGCCGATCTCTGCTTTTACGCGAACCACGATCGCACGAGCCGCTGGCGGCGTCTGTGAGGACACGTGCTAGATCGACGCGAAGTGACCTCCAATATTCTAGATGTCGCTTTGTGGTTCACCAGACCTTTCTCGAAGCAAAAATGGGGACTTATATAACTCGGCGACCGGTAGATGGAAGCAGGTACTGAATACGGTAGAGTAGCAGCAGCGGAGTGGAGTATAGTGCAGTCAATGGCATCATAAATAGTGGTGTATATAAATGTTCAATCAAGTTAAATAAATTAGTGCATTTCTTTTTGTGGAATCCAGTGTTTTAATCCACACCCAAAAGAACCCAGGAAAACGCTACACTATAATAGGAATAGTATAGTGGTAATATAATGTTGAATAATGGATGTTCATGTTCTATTAGAGCATAATACTGAACTTGACAGGATCTGGCCAGTTGGTCATCGAGCACGAAGTACCAATAACAAAAAAAAAGAATCAAGTCACAATTTATAATGACAAATATACTAATTATGATAACCCAATCCTCATGGGGGATGTACCTAAAAGAACTAAAAATTAGTAGCTCTGTTTTAAACAGTCCTGTATTATATTCAATTAAATCCAAATAATTCTCAGGTTGGGCTATCGCGCCAGAAGAGCGAGATTGGAAATACAGACTATCAATCTATTACGCAAAGCCACAAGATTCTGGAACTTTCACCTGCGCGACGCCGAGGGGAATAACTAACAGCGTAACACTACATGTAGCAGGTAATATTGGAACGTGTCAAAACTATCAAAATATATGTTCGCAAACAAAGCAATTTTTTGAATTTGAATGAACTTGCGCGACGCTTATAACAAAGGGCTCGTATCATCGTACCACCGAATATTTTTCGATACGCTGTAGTGCACTTGGGAAGCTATAAGCGTAAGTATACAGTGTGTCCCAGATTCGTTTCGGTTTTTCCCCGATATTTCCAAAACCAATTGACCTATTGTAAATCTGAGGCCGGCTATCGAAAGCCCTAAGTTTCCTCTAGAACTTTCCCCATTTAACCTTTGCTGTTGCTATAACAGGAGTCGAGATCCCTGTATAGAGACGCGAATCTGGGACACTCTGTATGTATAATTCAATAAACAGGATTATTTTCTACTGAATTCTGAAAAAAAAAAACGTAGAAAGGCATTCCCCGTCCTTTGGATGAGCGTTAGAAAGTTGTTAGGGATATATTTTACTCAAAAGATGGTAAGAATGATTACAATTTGCACATTTTTGATCAAGTAATAAAATGTACTTAGGACTCGAAAAACAATTTTGCGGTCGTTGTTGGTCTCAGAATAGGCAATGGACGCTGAAATCTTCTGAAGGTGCTTTACAAGAATTAAAATGCTTCACTATTAGGTGAAAAAATTACAATCTTCTTCGCTTTTGTGTGGGAAGTGAGATATAAGGCATAAAGGTCATGGCAAAATTCAAATTAATGAGTGCGAATAATCAAGTAAAATCAAGCCTTAATTACACATTTTGCAATTTTTGATAGCGCAGTTTACAAATAATAATCCGCGAGTTATATCATACACATGTGCGATGATATGTAAATATAAATTACCGAAGTCTTTGAACTTCGCGAATTGACTTAAATGATAATATGGTTGATGCATAGCGATTTTTTGTGACAACAACAATTATAATTAGTGTTATTCACACAGTGGAAATTTTTAAAGTACACAAAATGAATGCGAATGGTGCCACAAATATTATGTCATTTTTATAAACATACCCTCTTCCATGTAAAATTACGTTTATCACAGGTCGTTGGCTCCATTATTTTATTTGCCATTTACAAATATACAGGGTGTTTCGGAAAACTATACATACAAGGTGCTCGAAAAATAGACGGAGATATTTTAAAAAAATATGAAAAAAAGTTTCTATAAAGATGGTTCTGGAATTTTCAAGATACACAGAGATGAATTTAAAAAATTATTATAGATATCTTGAAAAATATTTACTCAATTCTGTTGAAATTTGGTAATAATATTTTTTGTAACAAGAGGCTAGTTTAGCCCCGGAAAGACTAAAATTATTAGGTCCACTGTCGTAACGGGGAGCACCTTAGCGAATGTTATTCGCAAAAAAATGTACGCCACTGCCTTTTTTGTAACTATAATATTTGTTGTTTGATTGAGCATCTAAGAATACAACTTCTTTGTATATTGCATTTTATTCGTATCTCATTTCGTTTTCGAGAAAAAAAAAAAAAACCGTTTTGTTGCAGGTCACTGGACAAAATTGGTTTACTGTTTTTTTGCTAAAAAATCACAAGTGCTTTGGAAAACAAAAAAATCAAATAAAATCTAGGAAAGAGTGTTATTCCAACTTTTATAATAGGTACCATGACATAAAGTACACTACAACAAACTTATATATTTTTTCAATTTATCCGTATCATTGCATGTTCATGGAAACTTTTTTTTATATTTTTCAACAAGAAATTACCCTCTAAAATATCTCCGTCCAGAAGACCCTGCAAATTTCTAGTGCAGAAACCAGATTCAAGAACAACTTAAACAGTTTCTATCAACATGCATCTTAATTCAACGAACTGGTGTAAGATACTGGCAACGCTGCAGATTGCCGGCTTCTAACTCTTTCTAACAAATGTGTCTATACAGAGTACTCTCTCGTACACAATGAACTCAAGCCGTCAACCAAATTTTGTTCTCAGTGTATATTGGTTATGTTACTATTACCAAAGATAGTTTTTTCCATTTCCATCTCTTGCTAACAATATCAGCCTCAAATTCAAAAACTCAATAAGATTAAAAAATCACTGCCCAAAATATAAGAAATGTTTAAATAAATACGCAAAGTTGGGGTTTTCCTTTTCAGAAGCAACTACCCTTGAAATAACAAAAGGTAATGTGTAGTGAAACGAGGGCGACCAGTAAAAAAAAAATAAAGGAAAAAGTACTCACTCTCCAGTTGACGAGAAGGGCTAAGTACGTCTCTGCCCGAAATCAATACCGCTCCAACAGAAAATGAAATCAGCTGATTGCGCTACCGAGCAGACGCAGGCAAACAAGGAAGGCAAAATGTTGCGCAAAAAGTCTAGGTATTGCATCCCGTCCAATCGATTTGGGAGAATAAATGGTCCAATGAGTATACCGTTCACCATGCCAGCCCAAACATTCACCGAAAATGTTTGTTGAAAATGTGCCCGACGGACAGCGTGCGGATTTTCTACTGACCAAACATGAGTGTTGCGAAAGTTATTCACCCCATTACGCGTGAACGTAGATTCGTCTGTCACCAATATGCACTTCAAAAAGTCCGGATTATTGTCATGTTGATGCAACAACCACTCACAAAACCGCACTCTTGCTGGAAAAGCGTCAGGTTGAAGGGCGTGTACACGTTGGACGTGAAACGGATACAGCCCCTCTTCACGCAGCGTTTGCCACACTTTAGTTTTTGATACTTGCACTTCTCTAGCCACGTCTCTAGTGCTTGTTGAGGGATTCTCGTCTACGCGATTACCTCTACACGCGTGACCGTAACCGTCGGTTGAAGGTTGCACACTGACCTGACACACTGACCCCGACCCCAGTTCTGTCGTCGGGTTGAGCTAGTGTCCTAGTACCAGTCGGGGATGTCGCGGCTACAGGACGGTATTCAGATATTTTTGATGTTGCAGAGCCTTTTATCTCGGTTCCCTTAAGACATTGGTGTATATGGTACTGAGAAAAATTGATTATGTTTTCAAGATCTACACGTCGTGTAAAGGAAAACCCCAACTTTGCGGACACCCTGTATAATTGAAACTAAAATTGATAAAAATATAAAAGATAAAATAACTATTACTCTTACTATTAACCAAAAATTATACAAAGAACAAAAGGAATCAAAAGTACTAACCTCAATAAAAGGTTTCTAATAAAGAAGAAAAAGTCAAAATATTATCATTTCCATCAATACGAATACCCTGACAACACAAACAAATATTGAAAAAATCATTATTTATTATTTTTAAACAGACTATAAAAATAGGATATAAAGAAATAACAATAAATTCTAATATTGACCATGTTTTTGTTCGGTTTGATGAGTTCCATCAAACGGTATACAGGGTGTTAGAAACATAGACGGAGATATTTAGATGATGTTAAAAAATATATAAAAAAAAAGTTTCTATAAACACGGGTGATAAATTTAATTAAATAAAAACAGTTTTTTTATTAAGATCTTCAAAATACACAGGGTGACTTTAAAGTTGAGTCATTAATTTTCAGATAATGATTGTAGAAGGAAGATAAACCAAAACATGTGTGTAAAAATAAAAAAAAAATTACCTTGTTTATAAAGTATCCTCCCGACAAGTATTTCAGTGCGGACCTGTATTTGATCGTGAGGTCTTGGAGCACCGGCATGCCGTCCCCTGTGAGGTCTTAAGTCACCTGATTCACGAGCCCGGTGTACTACATTAACAAAGGCACGAGGGGTTGGTTGCACTCGATTGGGAAACCGATCCGCATAAACATGTGCCATTTTTTATTTCGTTTGAGCCACGCAACAGACACCACTATTCACTCACGCGTTACCGACTTACACTGACTGTATACAACTGAAGAAAATAATTGTAAAAACGTCGTTCCAAATTCTTTCGCTTTTTTGTTTCCGATGCGATGAACGGATAAGGCGGATTATATCCGTTGTTGCCAGACACGAGCACATAATATTATTATTGAGACAGGGCGGTACTCAAACTTTCAAAGGGCTATAACTTTGTTACTTTAATTTTACCAGAAAAATGGTAAAGGAAAAAAACATTTCTTCTGATCAGATCTACTCACTGTTAAAATAAATGACTCAACTTCGAAGTCACCCTGTATATACTAGGTTCTGCTGAAATTTGGCAATATTATTTGTTGTATTAAGAGGCTAATTCAGCCCTAAATAGGTTAAAATTATTATATCCAGTGGCGTCGCTAGGTGTGAAGAAATGAAATCTTCGATCTGTATTGGCGAGTCCTACAAAACAGAGCGTACGTATATGCTGTAAACGATGATCGTATTGGTCAACCAATACCATAAGGAATTTTTGTACGACTAACTCTGTTTACTGATACGAGCGTTCGCTCTAATCTTGCCTGTTTTTTTGCGCTAGGTGCGATGAAATAGAATCCTCTTTATTCCTATTGGTTGAGCTACAAAAGACGATTGTATTGGTTGACGAATCAGCGTCAGGCGTTTTTTGTGCGACTATTTCTACTTTTTTGTTACTTTAATATTCATATCAAAAAAAATTGTACGAAAGAGTGTTATTGCAATTTTAATAATATTGCCGAAATTCAACAGAAACGAGTAAGCATTTTTTAAGATAATAATACTAGCTGATTGCCAAAAAATCAAGTTGACGAAATGCTTTTTTCTGGGTGTAACACTTCTAAGGTCACACTGAGTATGTTTCGTCATTTTACTTTTACGTCCTAGGTTTTCATGAAATTGAGCTTTAATAGATTCGCATTGCAATAAGAATATATTTCTTTTCGGTTAAGTTTCTAATCTTAAGCTACGCCAAACGCCTCGTAACTCAGTCTTTCTTGCTCATGAAAACGTAGGCTCTACAGACCTTAAAAGTAAAATGACGATATGATAATGTTAATACATGCCGTTTTGTTAAACTCGTTCCATATGATCTCGAAATAAATCTATTTTTCTCATATCACATACAGCCATCCACTGCGAACCAATCTCTGTCTCTGGCATGCACCTAAGTGTGAGAGTTGAAGGGACTAGGCTGGGACACATGGCCATTTTCCAGTGTCCTATAGGATTCTATGTCTCAGGTGAAGCCAACCTTACATGCCAAGCTTCAGGTAAATATTTTTTCATTACGTGTGTTTCTTCTCACTGTGGATACTTCGCTAAGCAAATGCTGGGGCAGAAGAAATGTCATAACGTTGTTGCCATTATTCGGGAAATACGAGGGTTGTTTAAAAATAAGGTTCCAAACGCTGCGGGGGATGCTAGGCGAAATCTGGCAACACCGTCGTGTTGCCGGGTCTGCCAACAAGAAGCGCCTATTGTCAACGCTCGGTACCGGCCTGGCAGCCATGCGAGATGACATTTACTCATGCGCAATGGAGCCAGGTGCGAAATTCATCCGATTTTTGCACGCAAAAACGTTACCACCGACGTAAATTCATTGCCAGTTCAGTAAAGTAAAGAACTTGTCTGATAACTATTACGACTTGAACAATCCTCCGTTTCATGACGAGGACTTCTGCGACAAACTGTATAAGTTCAATATTACTGATAGTTATTAGTAATTGAAATAACCTAGTCACTTCATCAAGTACCCAGTCGACTACTCGTCGAACAAACAACTTGTTACTTTAGATATATAGTCGAAATCACGAAAGATGACTATTACGTCATATCACAAATTGTACTGAAGTAATCAATGGACGTACGTCGATGATAAAATCACGATGGCAGGAACATGATGACAACAAATTTATGTTATGATTTTGCGAAGAGGATTATTTTTATTTTCATTTTATTTCATCGTTTTGAGTGAGACCTTAATAGTAATTTCAGTGGGGAGTTTTTGTTTTGAATAAAAACAGTTACGAGTTATTCTAAAACAACCTAACCTGCTTCAACATAACCTAACTATCCATCTTTCAAATATGATCGATCATGCAACATGAAAACATCTTCTATCTTTGTCGGGTACATGCAAATTAGCAATACAGTTTGTTCAGACAATAAAATTCTGTCTGTCTCTGTCTAGCATATCTGAAACTTCATTAAAAATATTCACAAATCGCTGTCGTTTATCTTTACCATAGACTAAAATGATGACGTAATCGTCATATTTCGTGATTTCAACTATATCACCATCTGGTCGTTTACGTTATAGGTAAGTGGTCGTCACCAGTTCCAAAATGTGAATTGGTGAAATGCCCTTCTCTGGACACCCTGAAGGTCTTTCCGAACCTCACCTGCACGTGGAAGAGCACAACAACAGCTATGGAGGGCGTGCCGTCTTCGGGTGTGCTTGGGGCTACAGGTTACAAGGTCCTCCAGGCATTGAATGTGAACTGAATGGAAACTGGTCAGGGCCTTTACCCAAATGTGTGCGTGAGTATCCAGGTTTTGTTCGAGCTGGACAACAATTTTTTTTTGTAAGTTCTCTTAAACTAGAGGAAATATTCTTATGTTCTTAATTACAAGTGTTGTTAATTAGTAAGTACCGAAAATTTAACAGATGGTTGTTTGAGTGATTTTAAGACAAAAAGTTCATATAAACATTTTCCCATTAGTCAAACGTTCATTACAGCTATCCAGTGCCCACCGCCGGTGTTGCCGGTGAACGGACATTTGATCCAGTCTGAGGCTCCTGGCATGGACGGAGGCAGATACGCGGTTGGCAGCTTGGTGCAGTTCGCATGCGAAGGAGCCTACAAGCTTGAAGGAGAGGCAAGCATCATATGCACCGAGATGGGCGTCTGGTCTCATCCTCCTCCATTCTGTACGTAAATTAACACCTTATACCATCATTCCATCCATACCATTTATTGACCACATCACGTATATAAAGTGTATCCGTGCCGAGAGTAAAAGTCATTGATATATGTTAGAAATAGCAGGGGGCCAAGTGCTGATCCCTGCGGTACTCCGTTGCAAATAAGCGAGAGATCAGACGTGGTGCCCTCGGAGCTCACATACTGCTTCCTTTTTGACATACATTTAAGTATTTTTATGCAGTAGTATTTTGTTTCTTTCAATCGTGTATGTGAGTTAACAGAAATACTTCCAGTAGCGATAGTATTAGAGTTATCTTCTATATTATCCAGAACATTCAACATTTTGAATTGACAGAGACTACAATCGTGCAGAACAAAACGTTTCACCAGTAGTTCACCATTTTGAATAGTAGTAAATTTATATAATAGGGTCATAAGGTACTGATAAGATGACCAGCCGCCATCTTGAAACTCTCATGTTATTTTCACGCTAAAATACAGGGTGACTTCGAAGTTGAGTCATTTATTTTAACAGTGAGTAGATCTGATCAAAGAAATGTTTTTTCCTTTAACATTTTTCTGGTAAAATTAAAGTAACAAAGTTATAGCCCTTAGAAGTTTGAGTACCGCCCTGTCTCAATAATAATATTAGGTGCTCGAGTTGGCAACAACGGATATAATCCGCCTTATCCGTTCATCGCATCGGAAACAAAAAAGCGAAAGAATTTGAAACGATGTTTTTACTACAATGTACAATTTTATTCAGTTGTATTTAGTCAATGTGTCAGTCGGTAACGCGTGAGTGAATAGTGGTGTTTGTTGCGTGACTCAAACGAAATAAAAAATGGCACATGTTTACGAAAATGCTGAACTTGTGGACATGATTCTTATTTACGGGGGGGGGGTTCTTTACAAAATGCTGCCGCGGCATCACGGATTTATGCGGCTCGTGAATCAGGTGACTTAAGACCTCACAGAGGAGGGCATGCCGGTGCTCCAAGACCGCACGATCAAATACAGGTCCGCACTGAAATACTTGTCGGGAGCATACTTTATAAAACAAGGTAACATTTTTTTTTTTCATTTTTACACACATATTTTGGTTTATCTTCCTTCTACAATCATTATCTAAAAATTAATGACTCAACTTCAAAGTCACCCTGTATAGTACCGACTGTCCTAAAAAAGACGTTAAAATGACAGACTTTTAAATTACATTTTGTTGTCGTCATAAAAATGACGTCAATAAATACGTCGTCAATGACGTTTCTAACCAAAAGTACCGAATAATGACGTCATTATGGCGTCATCATGTTCACTGGGTATGAAACGTCAACATATTTTTTTTAGGTAAGCCTCGGTGTTCGTACGTCGGCGAACCCAAAAACGGCTTTGTTTCACCGACCAAGTTCGCTTACGATCCGGGAGACGAACTTGAGATCATTTGCAGCCCTGGGTTTGTGACCGAAATTGAAGAAAGGATAAGATGTCTCCCAGACGGAAAATGGTCGGCAGCACTTCCGGAATGTTTGGACGCCACTATCAGTAATAGTAGTAACAGTACAGAAGTATGAATCTGTAGTACCCGTCTTATATCAACAATTTCTTCGCGAATTTGTTCAGATGGATTTGTTCAAGGTCGTCCTGATTGTGTTTGCTGTGCTGACAGCAGACAGTGCTGCCAACCTCACAACAAATTTTTCCTAGAAACATTTGAGTTTTTATATGTATTTGGTTTTGATTTTGAGGCGAATCTCATAAACAAAAACCATGCTATTGAAAACTGTGGTTCAATGGCATCCTATGCTTGAATTGAAAAGTTTTTGATATTGGAAAGGAAAGCAACTTGGCAAAAATCAGAGCAAGTTTTAATTGAGTGAAGAAATCCATGAAGAACTTTATAGATTTATTTGACGTCAAATTCCTGTGTTATACTTTGGAAATTTGACCTTTAACTTAATTCATAAGAAAAATGTAATCAAACTCTTACCTCAAATGGTTTTTGTACAGGATTGTGCAGGAATTTCGATGTAGAAAACTAAAAAATAATAAATTAATTCGTATACCTATTTAGCTGTCTATATAATGGGTGATTTTTTTACTAGTATCTTTTTGGCAACACTGTTTTTGACAGATGACGCGTGAATCGTGTCTTGTGTCATTGTCAAACTTGTTCAGTTTGGTCTATAATTTAACCATGAATCGACTTACGAACGAACAACGCTTGCAAATTTTTGAATTTTACTATCAAAATTCATGCTCGGTTAAGAGAGTGCATCGAGCACTGCTTCCAATTTATGGGCAATTTGGTCGGCCTACTGAGGGAGCTATTCGGAAGCTTGTGACTAAATTTCAAACCCAGTTTACATTAAACACCAACACGCAGACGTAGAGTGAGGACTGAAGAAAATATTGCGGCTGTATCCGCCAGTGTTAATGGTGGCCGTGAAATGTCCATTCGCCGCCGTTCGCAGCAATTGGGCCTCTGTTACTCCACTACGTGGAAAATTTTGCGACAGGATTTGGGTGTAAAACCTTATAAGATACAGCTGGTGCAAGAATTGAAGCCACACGACCTCCCACAACGTTTCCAATTTGGTGAATGGGCGCTGGAAAAGTTGGAGGAAGATCCACATTTTTATCGAAAAATTGCGTTCAGCGACGAAGCTCATTTCTGGTTGAATGGGTACGTTAACAAGCAAAATTGCCGCATCTGACTTGTGTGTTACGGTGGACATCCTATGTTTTTTTTAATAAATGAGAATTTTAATAACGTTGAATAGTAGACAACAACGATATTGTATTCGTTTACATTTTTTGCGGAAAACGGCTATAGAACCGGAGGCATAAGGACCGAGACGGATCTGAATTTTTTTGATATGTATTTTTGCTATGTAAATCGGATTGTAATGTAGAGAAAACAATCGAGAAAGTTGGGATGTCAAGGATAAGCAAGATATAGAGGAATGTGTACGATAAAATATCCATTTAATCTCCCGTGTAGTTGCAAAAGTAACAAACGCGGTGCGTAGGTATTTGTACCTACTCCAGAAATTTGTATAATGATATTCGGTTTCTATTTCAATGAGATTTTCGTAAACCCAAGCGTAGGTAGGTATTCAGGTATCCAGGGAGTATCTTTGCATTCCCCAAAAAAATATTCCAAGTCGTTTCGTTCTTAAAACTATTTTTTCACTTCGGATAGTGTTTGTTTGTATTTTTTGGGTCATTGGGAATAAAAAACACTCCAATGAATTTTTCTCTAAGGTTTGTATTTTCTCAGGTACATATAAGCAATTTGAAAATGCAAAAAACGTCGTTTTCTACCCAGCTACCTAGGTATTTCTTAGGCTCGTATCGTCAGTCGTCCCTACAATTTATTGTAGGGCGCGTTTATGGCCTCCTTGATTGTCATAGTTTTATACTTCTCCGTGTCAACGCTCTATTTTGAGGTTATGTCACAAACATCTATTTGCATCAAATTGTTCTTGCTTTTGAGTTATATCATGTTTTATCAGCCTGAAATTGAATACAATTTAAAAGGAAAACATATCTTAACAATAGGAGGACGCTGACACGGGACGAGTGTAATCTAGAAATTTTTGTAGGAGAGAAAAGAGTATGACAATCAAGGAGGCCATAAACGCCATAGAAGGGTTTATCTCTGACTGACGATCTCTGCTGACGATACGGGCCTTAGGGCAACAAAAATAAAAGTTTGTTAAGCAGCTTCTATCTAGCGGTTGTAGTTTAAACACCTGCTGAGAAAAATCAAACGTTACTACTTTTGATACAGATTTCATATGCAGATTATACTATGTTTCATCATTTCACGGACAGATGTCTCTAAGTCAACAGCTGTGGCGACATCTACTGGAATGTTTTAACCAGACTTTCCTTTTCAATTTTGACTAAAAGCAATACGTTGGTTAGGTCACTGCTAGATGGTGGTCCACATTCGTTGTTCTGTAGTTCATAATGTAATGACATTTATGATGTGTGACGTTTGTGGTGTGACACCGTGACGTGTTGAATCTTACTGTTCTGTGATTTTGGATGAGTCCAGATTAATAAACAAATTATTGCTTTCACACATTTCATCAGATAGTGTTTAAAAACATTAAAGAATCTGTAACTGGAATTTAGAGTTAAAAAATGGCAAACACGAACACAGATCTCACTGAAGAAGATGCCGCAGATTTGCAATTTCCCAAAGGTAAGTTCATGCCGCTTTTCCAACCTATATTTTTTTAAATTTTGCTTACTTCTAGAAGACGACCTCTCAAAGTCTTCGTTGTCGTGCGTGCCCGCAAATACTTTTTTAGGTAATTGTTCGTTATTGTTACAGCCGTCAATGCAACAGTTGTATGCCAGGATTTACAGATATGAATAAGTCTTGTGTGTATTCTTCAAGTCGTATTCATAGTGTTTACCATCAAAACACAAAACTTCACTTTGTGCTGCTTTTATTGCGAATTTCGTATTAAAATACAAAGTATAATCGTGGTTCATATTTGCTAGATATGTTTCCGCGTATCATAATATATTGCATATACAAAGCTGTGTTAAATAAATCAGTCTGCAAACTGTTATATGTCGTTGGCTTTTTTGAATGTGAATTATTTAAGCTAGTATTATTGCAAGCCAGTCTTAAGCCAGAGGTAGGATTACCATCTGTTACGCTTTTTTTTGGACCTGCAGAGGAACAGGTTGGTTGACAAAATTTTACTTACAATGTTTTCAAATAGAAATTGCTCACTCTGTATATTAGGGAATTAGCTTTGTGTCTTAAGAGATAGGTTTAATACCTAACTTCATACTTTTACATTATTTTTGAATGTTCTGGTCTAAAAATATTGCTCACTGTTTTTTTTTTGTCCCAAATCACCCTATATCCTTGGAGTACCTTTTAACGAAGCTGGGGTTTAATCTACTATAATTTTTGTTCAGAAACTACATTCTCATAACATTTTTCCGTAAGTCTGTACTTTATAGCAAATTAAATAAATATTACTTTCAGTCCTTTGTTTATGTTTGTCCTTTTCTGCTGCCCAGTTCTTGATGTAGTTTTCTTCGGTATTATTCTGCAGAAATATGATGAATTGTTGGTGGTAATTGTATCCCATATGAACGATAATGAAACTATGAATTTGTGGAATATACATATCTGTAAATAGTGTGCATATCAACTGCTATGCTGGCTACATAATAATAATGGCAATAATCCTCTTTTTAGACAATCCCGATTCAAGTTACTGTGTGAACTGTTATAGTGAAGTGACAAACCAATATATACTTTGTAACAAATGTGATACCATCATTTGCCTTGCCTGTTTCTCTAACGGTGCTGAATTTGGAGAGCATAAGAGCAACCACGACTATAGAATACTCAGCACAAAGTTTGTCTTATTCAAAAACAGTGATTGGACAGCCGAGGAAGAAATGAAACTTTTAGATGCAATTTTGAACTACGGAAATTGGAATTTGGTGAGTCAGGAATTTCCGAATAGGAGTCTGAGCGAAATCATTGATCACTATGATCATTTTTATCTGGATGGTAATGGTAGCAAAGCTATGCCAAAAATGATGCGGAGAGACTCGGCTGGCTTCAAACAAGTTGTGGTTCCTTACAGGTTAAGGATAGCCGATTCTGAGGAACCTCCCAGATACTTACCGAATACCATAGGTCACGAATGCTTAGCAGGGTACAATCCGGCACGTTCTGATTTCGAGAATGATTATGACAAAAATGCCGAAGATATGATTGCTCATCTAGAGTATGTCGGTGAAGACGATCCTCACTATGAAATGTTGACCAAACTCCAATGTGCAGTAATAGAGAGTTACAATAGGAGGTTGAGAGAAAGACAAAGATGGAAGAATATTATCAGCAAACATGGCCTGCTGCAAACGAGGAAGATGATGGCTTGGTTCCAGAGGTACAAACACACAATTGAAAAAAATGTCTGCGAGAAGATGGTTAGGTTCTTGCAATTGTGTGAGCCGATAAGGTTTGACATGCTCATGGAGGGGCTTCACAAGGAAGGGGAATTGAAGCTGCAAATGTCCAGGTAAGTTTCTATCTTGGTTTTCAAATAGCATATCATGCAACTTTTTACTGCTTCCAAACCCCTTGTTTATACACAGCAAATTTGAAAAATCCATTATTCGTCAAAACGCCCAAATTCCAAAAAAATTTTGGCACTTCTGGCATCAATATAACCTCTTCAGGTTGATTATTGATTGTAGTGTCTATGAGATGGATACGAGGGATGTCTTTTAAGTTTTGCATGTGGAAATAAAACAACATGGTAGGTAGTTTTAAATGACTTTATTGTTTTTCGTAGTATTCCCCATGAAGACTAATACAGATCTGCAGACTTGGTGGAGGATGATTCTTCTTTCGGGGTTCATTTTTCGAAGCTCGGTGTTGGCTTTTGGCAAACAAATGGTGGTATACCAATCCGCAGTAACAGTTCTTTGCTCACTAAGAGCAATTGTTGCAATATAACCCGCTTTTGACACAAATGTCGCGACCATCTTTTTCGAAACACTTCGAAAACGGATGACTTTTGTTGGTTTTTCTTCAACTTGGAACACCCAAACAGCCGACTGTCGTTTATTTTCTGGTTCATAACAGTAAATCCACGATTCATCACCACTAACAATGCTCTACACATTTTTTGAGTTTCCGGAATTAAAACGGTCAAGCGTTTTTTGACACCAATTAACCCTGGTTCATGTAAAATTTTTTGAACTGAGGTCTTTGAGATCTTCAAGTTTTTGGTGCACCCACCCTGGAATCGTCGCTAAGACTCACCCGTCCACGTTTGAATTCTCCATACCAACGGGAAATTGTCGACTGATGTGGCGCTTCATTGCCGAAAAGAGACAGTAACTCAGCAAGGCATTCTTGTTGCGATAATTGTCTCTGAAAGTTGTAATAAATTATGGCGCGAAAATGTTCTCGGTTGAGTTCCATCTTTCTAATGACTTGGTGACACTTCAAAATTCACTGTAGTGCGAACACCGCACGTAATGTTGTGAAACTTTGAATTTAAGTTTACTAAAGAGTGATGTTAAGATTCAGCACTGACGTCCGATCCGCGCGGCCTACTATGTTTCTATATGCAAAACTTAAAAAGACATCCCTCGTATTTGTATCTCAATTATAGTACGCATATTTTTCTGGCTTGCCTGTATGTAGAGACATGATGTTTTATTGAAAGTTTGGAGCTGTTTATGAAAAATGATAAATGTGCGAATCTGGTGCTGCGATAAGGAGATTACTCGGAGCTTCTTCAAACAAAGAAAGGTCTGATGTCACATTGCAAGTATTTCCTTGCTCTCACTGACACGTGTTTCCTTGATAGGATTCAGAACTTTGTGAACGCCAAAAATTCAGCAAATTAACCGACAAGATGTGTGGTCAGAATAACGTGTCACACAGCTAGAGAAATGATGAATGTTTTGCAAAAAATGTTATCATTTCCGCATTAGATTATGTCGTCTGGCCACCAAGATCGCCAGATTTTGCGGCATTTTTTTATGCGGATTTCTAAAAATATAATAATAAACTTTAACTTAAGTACTATGCTGAAGAGCAATATTTAATGAAATATTGCTTATGATACCAACCGATGGAAAATGTAATAATCAGGAGTTTATGCGACTACCTTAGGCGCATATTAAGTTATATTGCTTTTCGTATGTAACTCCCAACTCATACATAATTCCAGACTTCCATTAAAACTTCAACATAAAAATTTATATATTCTACTCCATGTTAAAAATATGGGAGAAACAAAGCAGTCGGTTATTCGAGCATAGTGGACCCTTGGCTTTGCAGTTGGGAAAGATAATCTGTACTGCAGAATTACTTTTTGTCAGAAAAATTCTGTCCAAGTATCTAGAAGACACAAAAACCGTTTTAGTGACCTTTGATATACCTATTTATAAGAACTGTAGCCATAATTACATATATGTAAGTTCTTAGATTCCAGCTTTCGTTAATCTAGAAACTTTTTGAATCGTTTATTTCCCGCATTATATATTACAGTTTTATTGCTGATTACTATCATATGCAAAATACTTTTAACCTGTACCGTATATTTTAACTCGCTATCAAAATGGCAAATTTTTTACTTTTGCAATTTACAATAATATGTAAATTGTCTCATCACTTATGCGAAACCTACTTAGATATCGATACTATGTTACCACTTGTTTCCTGTCCTATTCTGGATATACACCATACTTATCACAATTGCACTTATAATCAAATGGGTTATCAGTAAATATGCCGTTTTTTACCTGAAATCTCTTACGAGGCAATGCGCTATTGAACCTAAAATCGTCTTAACTTTGAACCTTGAACAATGTAATATGTATTAAATACATACCTTTTTAATATAGTGCAAATGATATGATCGCTATAGTTGTAATTGCGACTATATCATGTTAGGATGGTTCGATTGATTAGAGTACCCAATATCGAGTTGTCTCTTTGACAGTGTAGGTTTCTTGACTATCACCTGACGTTAAAAATGTCATCCTCAAAGAAACGATTTCGAAGACGTTTGCCAATTTACGTGCTAGGCGTGTTGACTTTTGTCCATCATATTTTCCTGCCGATTATCCTGAGACCAAGCGAAGAACAACGAGAACAGTTACGGAGTGAAAATTAATTCCAAAGAAACTCCTTAGTATGAGTTTAGTGAAGCTCTGGATAACATCAAAAAGGTTGTGTCGCTAACCACGGCTCGGTGGAGGCAGCGGAATATTCCATTCAGCTGCTGATGAGTATCAAAAGAATACACGACCAAATGGAAACGAAGCCTAGAGCATTTTTTAATTTAATTTTATAACGTATCAATTTATAATCTAATAATTAATGAATTATGATAAATAAACTAAACTTGAAGATAGTGTTTTGTAAATAAGTAGGTCTATTTTATGAGTTAACGTCTTGGAACCACGCTCGACAACATCTCATTACAATGGAATGAAACAAATGTAACCAACTCGGAAAAATCACTGAATATTAAGCAAACATGTTCAAATTGTTTGGATCCTGATATCATGACAAAAAAGGACGACTCGGATTGCCTTCAACATTGTACTTCCAAGATATCCAAAGCCTTGCCTCCGGTACGATCAATCGGAACTAAAAGATCCTTACAGGGTGTAGATTTTTCAGATTTTTTTAAGCCTATAATCTGGAAAGTACACGTTTCCGGCTTGTCATAAACCTCCGGGACACCCTAATATGTCTTACCTGCTCTTTTTATTTTAGCACATCACATAACATTATTTACTTTAATCAGTTTACCAGTTCCACTATCCTACGTAGCTGTCTGGGGTACTACTACCGTATACTACTTGCAATGATTGCAATACACATAAAATTATTAGTATAGGTTGTACATCTTAAACGGAAGCTTATTAAATACGGATTTGTTTATTTTAGATTGATGTACCTGAGAAGGAAAGGAATAACAACTCTGGCCGAAGGCAGACTATTTCTCAAACTGCAGCAAGTCCGTAGTGAGCACCGAAAATCCCTGAAAGCATTCAGATCCAATAACATCTTCAATTGGAAGCAGTCTCGCGAGTCAGCTGTGGACATCTCGACCGGCTTGAAACAAAGGAAGCAAGTGTTCACGCCGATCGAAATCTTGGGGATGCCCGGATACTGCAGACTGAACGAGAAAGAAAGAGAACTTTGTAGAAACGTTCGTCTCGTACCAAACGCGTATTTGCATTTGAAGGAAATTTTAGTGTCCGAGTTCAGCAGAAGTGGATCGGTGAAGCTACAGACGGCTAGAAGGCTGTTGAAAATAGACGTGAATAAAACTAGGAAGCTGTACGACTTTATGATTGAAGAAGGATACATTACCAAACACTGAAAGATTTTATGTCAGTTTGGACGTCGTTTTTCAACGTACGGTATTTAATGCAAGATTGTTCGTGTAATTTTGCTAGAACACATATTGATGACTTTATTTTTTTAGAGTCAAGATATCGTTAAAACTTATATTGTTTGGTTAAAGTGTTTTGGAATATCTAAAATTGTCACATGAGCTAATATATTTTTATCAAATATATACTCTGAAGAATAACTTACCCAATCTGTAACCTCAATACTATCAGTGGTGTATGTATGCTTACTTAACTTGAAGTTACACGTAACACTATGTTAGATTGGAGTAGCTTTGCACCGGGGCAAAACATTAACGCCTGCTTCTTGAAGAAAGTCCGTAGTACGACGAGCAATCTGGGGACGTGCGTTGTCTTGCTGAAAAATACTGCAATAAAGTGGTTTACAGGACATCTTCAACATTACGCGCAGCAGTCATATTGCCTTGAACAAAGAGAAGGGCTGATAGGCTACCATAGGCAATAGCCCCCAAATCATTACTCTCAACAACAAATCCAATATCACGCCGTTCTCCACTGCGGCGTCTTACCCTTCTACGACCATGTTCGTACCTAGACAGAATCGCGACTCGTCGCTGAAGATGACATTATGCCTCCCAATGTTGCCGTTCTCTGCTCCAGTTCAAACGTTAACGACAGTGGTCCGCAATCAGAGGAAGCACTAACCGTGGACGGTATGAAAAAAGTCCAAAGACTCGAATGCGGCGAAAGAGTGCACGCATAGTAACAGATCTACCTTCTCCAAAGCATTGGTCAGAGATCTGACGTACTAGCAAAACGGTCTCGTAGGGCTATACTACAACTATTTAAAACTGTAATGACTCATACGCGTGATCAACACGTGATCAGAGCTCGATCCCGGCTTCCTTCCAGTACAGCCGTATAGCGTACGACATATGTCGTTCCTGTGGCTTTGCGGTGGTCAACAGCACAGACAGAGATGGAAATAATGGCTAATTGTTCTCCGCCGGTAGAACCAATGAAATCAAAGGCGCGCCTCGACCGGCAGACTCATAGGCGTCGGCAACGCATTGGAACGTGTTTCGTTGAGCGATCGCATATTGTGTGTTTTTATAAGAATTGTTGTGTGATTGTTATTGTTGGGGTTTCTGTGGTTACTGTGTTTTGGTTATACTTAACCATGGAGAGTACAAATGGCACGAGTGGAAGTACTGAACGCCAGGGAACAAGTAGACGGCTTCGTGGAGCACTGAAGAGGGACGCGAAAGAAATCGTGCTCAACGTGTTCAATTATCTGAACAGAACTATGTCGCAGGGAGATGCACTCGCGCGTTGTGAAAGTATGACAGGCGTTCCAGAGTGGACCATTCGCAGGGTGGTGTATGAAAAGAAGAAAACTGGAGCTACTACTGATCCAAAGTTTAATTTGAAGGGACGAAAGGCCGTTAAATTGGATGACGATAGCAAAATGGCGTTAAGGCGAACCGTACATTCATTCTTCTTTAGGAATGAGATACGAACCCTCAAGGCTGTACATGCAGCGATCAAGGAAAATGAAATTATACCAAAATGAGCGTCGAAGTAATGAGGAAATCCCTGCACGAAATTAATTTTCGTTACGAAACGCGTAATCGGAAGTCAGTATTAATAGAGAGACCTGAAATAGTCGCCTGGCGTCTAAAATACCTACGCGAAATGAATATAGGCGACAAAGCAGAAAAATCTATTATTTGGACGAGACATGGGTATATGCAGGTCACACAGTTAAAAAAACCTGGATAGATAAAAACGTAGTGAGTAACCGACAAGCAAGCATTGAAGGTTTGTCAACAGGTCTTCGTGGACCGTCAGGGAAAGGTCAAAGATTGATCGTAACTCATATTGGTAGCGACAGTGGCTTTTTAGAAGAGTATGACTTGATTTTCGTCTCTAAGAAAGGAGGTGATTACCATGACGAAATGAATGCCAGCTGCTTCGAGAGCTGGTTTCAAGGGGTGCTTCAGCGAGTTGAGCCCAACTCTGTGATCGTCATGGATAATGCTTCCTACCATAGTCGTCGAGCCGAACGTGTACCGACTATGGGATCTCGAAAAAGTGACATGCAGCAATGGTTGCGCGAAAAAGGAATCCCGTTTGACGATTCATGTGTGAAAGCGGAATTGTATGAAAAAAGTTATAGTCAGTTTTAGATAGTTATAGTATAATTGTCTGAAGCGCCTAACTTGACGCCCTGTGGTACGCCTCGATGGACCAGTTGGCCTTCTTCGTGTTCCTCTACCTTCTTCTATATACACACGACACACACGGATTACCGTCACTGCAGTACAATTAACAGGGCGGCCAATTTCGCGATAGAAAAAATCTCGATAGGCAATAATTCTACCCCTGTCAAAATATCTGTAATACTCAGCTCTCAGAAACCGCTTTGTTCACAAAAACTATGAGATAACATTTTAACAAAGGTAAATGGGAACAAAGATAAAACGCTGACATTGTTGGCACAGCAGCTTTAAATATAGTCCTGATGTTGCCGAAAAATCAAGTTGAAGAAATTATTTTTCTGGGTGTAACACTTCAACGTCACTGATATATCAAGAACTCTGAATTTCATCTTCAAAATGCTATACGGAGGTTCTATATATTGTTTTATTCTTCAATAATGCTGCTATATACTATTGCTACGTATATTTCTACTGGACCAACTTAGTACAATTGATAAGGATGTCTAAGCATTTACTTTGAATATGGTATTGAACTAGGAACTACCTGTAAATGACGCGTTTTCAATTTTTTTTCAACAAAATTCAAATAGATAATCATTATACATTCTGTTGCGGTTTCAATATCGGCTATGAATAATTATTATAAATTGCTATTGCTGCTTAATTATGTATGCATTTCCAACATATGTACATACAAAATTTTGATGCAAATCGGTTAAAACCGGTATTTACACATATAATCAGTTCCATTCATTTTCTATATGCTAAGCGCAAGTCACGAGCAAGCACTGGCGTTTGAGAGGCCATCTTTTAGAATTCGAACGAATTATTATTATGTAAATGGGCAATGAAGATCAGAATAATCACATAGCATGCATTTTTATCCTGCTGCTGATATACCAAAAACTGCATAATAAGAGAGTTACTTAAAACAAACACCTAATAAACTTGACTGCTACGTGACATTAAAAAAATTTACTCGGAAGTATTTCTATTTCTGTTCTCCTGAAACTTTTGTTCAAATCCTTTCTCGTAAAAATGCGTGCTGTAAAGATTCAGCGTTTTAAGATAGCAGCTAGACAATCATCCTGAAAACTGTTTACAGCGCCTTTACATTTACTGGTTTGCCTTGTGAATACTAAAATTATGCATACCCCGATATCCAATGCTGATATACCGAAACGCTTTTTCTTTTACTGACGATTTCAGAGTTTGAGAATGCAGAAACATTGCTGATCTCTGAAGTTCACATGCTGCTGGAACACAGGAAAGACCAGAATGAATCTGCCGAAGATGAACAAGAATTTTCTGAGGTGTTTATGAAAACGTTAACCTACACCGATAGGTTCAGGAAATTCAAGAACAAGGAGACCATATCTGCAGTGAGAAAGTAAGTTCCGTTCAGTTGTACTGTATGGAATTTCAAATTTTTTCATTTTTCAATTTAAAAGTATGATCCTTGTCTTGGAAGGTATACAAAATTCAAAAAAAAAACGGCCCTACTTTTAGGTTACCTCTAGGTAACTTCATTATGATGCAAAATTCAATCAAAACTTGTTCAGAATCTATAAATCTAGAAATAAAATTTAGACTTTATTTTTAGAAAAAAAGCTTTATTAAAAAATATTGTGTATTGAAAGTATCCCGTATAAATCGTGTCAAAACACGGTCAATTTTTCATTACACATTTATAGGAATATTTACTAATCGACGAAATAATTATGAGTTGTTCTTTTTTCCAATATTTAAATGAAATGTAAAACCGACATTAAATAAATCCATTTGATATGAAACGAATGTAAAATTGAAATAGCGTGTACATTACTAATGGATATTATACTATAATTCGCTAAAATCCACAACATTCCTGTTCATTTTTGCGCAAAATTGACATTTGATTTTTGTTCGTTCAAATTGTTGTATCCCATTTGTTATATTCCAATTTCTCTTTTCATATTTATTAACTCTTGACCACAAAAGGGGCTAGTTGTAATTTGAACGGTCAGATGTGGCGTTGCTTGGAAGTTACCTTAATCGTGAGTGTTACCAATGGTACAACACAATCTGTTCAACCACTTGAGGTCTCTTTTTGAAATCCTTAATTCGTTTTCGTATCCTTAATAACTCGTACTCAGACAATTGAATTCATAGCTCTTAGTGTGACTTGCGTTTTAGATTTAAAAACTTTCATTTTCAGCCTGCTAATGCAGAAAAAACTGCACAAGTTTGAGCTAGCGGCAATAGCAAATCTCTGCCCCGAAACAGCAGAGGAAGCCAAATCTCTCATTCCATCACTCGAAGGACGATTTGAAGATGAAGAATTACAAGCTCTCTTGGATGACATTCAAACAAAAAGAAGTATTCAATATTAACAACTTTCCTGTTTGCTATTTGTTTTGATATTGATTTTTTAAGATTTAGGCAGGCTATGTAAGTTTTACATTAAAATTAAGTTCATTGTGTGTTTATTCATTTTATAATTCCACATAACCTTTAAAATACTTAAATGAATCCATAAATCCAATCCTAAATCGTACAGTCTTTCTCACGAGTATTCATTACCGTAAAGTAACAGCTGATTATCTAGTAACATTTTAAAATTCCCTATATCGACAAGTGACACACGTGGAAGTGGGGAGAAGTCTTGAACCACGCGTTCGGCGTGCGGGTTAAATAGTCACAATGGAACGTTGGACCGGAGCGCAACGTGCTTTTGCTATCGGGGTTTACTTTAAGAGTAACATATCCCTGACCAAGAGATACTCTTGCATAAAGTCATGAAATGTACTCATCAAGAACAATGCAGTGTTCGTGAATACAGGCATGGAAACAAGCAGTGGAAACGGAAACGGCGCGTGGAAGCTAACAACGCTTTTGGGAGGGAAATAAGAAATGCAGTTTTTGGTATTCTGGAATCGTTTAAAAAAAATACAACTTCTACTTACTTTTCTTTAATGAATTTCAATGTGCACTGCACAAAACATATATACCGAAGAAGGTTCAATTCCATGCTATTCAATGGCAACACGGCGACTTGTATGGTTGTCAGCGGCCATTTTTTGAGGGTGCCAGATTGTGCAACGTTGCCAGCTCTACATATAAATCTGAGACTGCTATACATACTTTTATACAGGGTGTCCGCAAAGTTGGGGTTTTCCTTTTCAGAAACAACTACCCTTGAACTAACAAAGGTAATGTGTAGTGAAACGAGGGCGACCAAGTAAAAAAAATAAAGGAAAAAGTGCTCACTCTCCAGTTGACGAGAAGGGCTAAGTACGTCTCTGCCCGAAATCATACCGCTCCAACAGAAAATGAAATCAGCTGATGCGCTACCGAGCGACTCAGAAACCAAATTGATTGTCTTACACTTAATGGCACATCTTCTAACAAGGAAGGCAAAATGTTGCGTAAAAGTCTAGGTATTGCATCCCGTCCAATCGATTTGGGAGAATAAATGGTCCAATGAGCATGCCAGCCCAAACATTCACCGAAAATGTTTGTTGAAAGTGTGCCCGACGGACAGCGTGCGGATTTTCTACTGACCAAACATGAGTGTTGCGAAAGTTATTCACCCCATTACGCGTGAACGTAGATTCGTCTGTCACCAATATGCACTTCAAAAAGTCCGGATTATTGTCATGTTGATGCAACAACCACTCACAAAACCGCACTCTTGCTGGAAAATCGTCAGGTTGAAGGGCTTGTACACGTTGGACGCGAAACGGATACAGCCCCTCTTCACGCAGCGTTTGCCACACTTTAGTTTTTGATACTTGCACTTCTCTAGCCACGAGTCTAGTGCTTGTTGAGGGATTCTCGTCTACGCGATTACCTCTACACGCGTGACCGTAACCGTCGGTTGAAGGTTGCATACTGACCTGACACACTGACCCCGACCCAGTTCTGTCGTCGGGTTGAGCCAGTGACCTTGTACCACTCGGTGATGTCGCGGGTCGCGGCTACAGGACGGTATTCAGATATTTTTGATGTTGCAGAGCCCTTTTTCTCGGTTCCCTTAAGACATTGGTGTATATGGTACTAAGAAAACCCCAACTTTGCGGACACCCTGTATATAGAAATTTGGTGGGATACGGGAGATCTTATAACAGCATGTATTATTAACATTAAAAACTGACAAATGTTATGTTCTGCAAATATCCTTCGGAGCTGTGCGTTTTGGTCAGATCAGAAGTATTTTTTCGTGGCGCTCCACTGTTCAAAGAGTGATGTGGAGATACAAACAGGTACGATCTTCAAATATTACATTCCTAAAATGAGTAACCACTGCATCTCTGACCTTCCTCAGGATCTGAAAGAAGCCTGGCTAATGACTTGGATCACCTTAAAAAAGAAACAGTTTTGATGTGGAGTTTGTCTTATAGTATATATTTACAAACATAGGTATTACAGCTTTGTGTACTACTTCACAACTTTATTTAATTAAAATGAAATGTGAAGAAAATGACATGCTGAAAAAAGTAAGGTTATTTTTGCAAATCACAGACCGCAGAGTACAGGAAGAAACCCGCCGGAAATTTAAATCTGGCCAATCAGACAACGTCAGTTGTGAATAAGTCGCCATTTTTTGAGGGTGCGACAGGGTTGTCATATTATACAACAGCAACACTGCTTTATTTACCATTCGCCAATATGAGTTTCACCCTCCTGGTGTGTAAGCCGCTTGCGAATTTTTTAAACGTAAACTCAACTAGTTGAATTGAAGGTAGAGGAGGAGAAGAAACGTGAGCAAAACAGGAAGACGGCAGTTCATCATGGCGAATGGCGGCGGCAGGATACGTGCACTGTTGCCAACTCTTAATTAATCAATTCGCTGGATGTATGCTTGAAACCCGCTAAATTGGAAGTATTTTCTCTAAATGATGGAGTCACTACGAATATTTGTTACCTAATATGGGCTCTGGCTCACAAATCCTTCCCACGAGTAAAAAAACAAAACAAAACAAGGTAATGGATGTCGTTGATAAGCATGTATCAGTGGCGAGTCAACTATTTATCCAAAACCGATCTTTTTGCGTTGAGGCGGCCTAGGTTTTCTGTTACAAAATCCGCGATCGGAAATTACCAATTTTTCCGCCAAGTACAATTATTAATTATTGACGACCGCTACATCTAGCGGAAAATCGGCTAAGTTGGCAACATCGAACTTCTTTCATGGCAAATTCTGATGGCGCCAAATTCAAAATCAGCTGTTTTACGAGGGTGGGCTTAAAAGTTTCCGACCTAACAAGATATTTTTTCTGATTTAATTTTTAATTTTTCAACATAGTTTCCTTACAAACGCGATGCTCCCATCTCTGTAACCCGTCCAAATAGTACTCGGCGTTTGTCTATACAAAATAATTGTTCCAGAAAGCGATTGCTTCTTCATTTGACGAACATCTCTGAAATCCGAGCGCAATTTTTAGATGAGGGGAACAACAAGAAGTCGCTTGGGGCTAAATCTGGTGAGTAAGGCGGATGGTTTAAACCGTAATACGTGGGATCTTCTTTCTCTGCAAGCTCTGCCTTCAGCTTGAGTAATGATGCGTAGTATGTTCCTGCAGTGGTTTTTCCTTTTTGCAGATAATCGATTAAAATAACTCCATGACTATCCAAAAAACAGTCGCCATCATTTTCCCAGCCGAAAAAAACAGTTCCTGTCGTTTTGGAGCCGGTTTCTCTTTTGCAGTTCACTGTTTTTTGTTTCGGGCATACAGGGGTTGTCCGGAAAGTAATAGGACTGAGTCGATTTAAAAAAAATTATTCAGCCAATCGTTACAATTCTTTAAAAACTTTCAAAATAGGCTCATTCTGGGTCGATGCAGCGCTGCCAGCGCGATTTCCAAGCATTGAAGGCGTCACGGAAGGCAGGAGACAAAAAAGTCCGGGGGGCCACATCTGGGATGCCGGCCTTGTCTTGTGAAATATTTTAAACGTATCAGAGATATTTCAGAAGCAATATGACTGAAATATTCCTTATCCCTCATTTCAGTAATGTCTCTCAAACATAAATTGCGAAATACTACAATAACAATATTTCTGAAAGATGTAACGAAATATCAATTTTAAAATGTAATATTGGGAAAGATATGTATATACCTGAAATATATTTGAAAACTAATGCGCTACAATGTATGTGTTTTTTAAGAAGATAAATTGGATATTCAATCTTAATATACTAAGTGACATATAAATCCGAACACCCAGTTTAAATGGTTTTATTTTAATAAAATTTTGTATAAGTACTTAATGAAGCATAATAAGTGAATGATAAAAATTTCAAAATGATTGCACTGCTTTAAAGCCCAGGCAACCACCAACTCCTCTCGAAGTGCTTCTAGAGTCTGAGGAGGACGTTGCAAATTGAGCAATCTCCTACCCATCATATCCCACACGTGCTCAATTGGGGATAAGTCGGGAGATCTTGGTGGCCATGGTAACAATGTGACATCATTATGTTGAAATAAGTCTATTGTGACTCTTGCAACATGTGGTCGGGCATCATCTTGTTGGAAAGTTGGATCTGCCAGGGTGCCAAGATAGGGTAAAAGATGGGGTTCTAGAACTTCGTGGATATAACGCTGCGCGTTCATGTTACGTCTGATGAAGATTAAAGGTGACCTGGAACCATAAGCTATCGCACCCCAAACCATAACTCCAACAGTGTGATGAACATGTCTTTCAACAAAAACTGTGGATTCCTCCTTTCACCACGTCGCCTTCTAACGCTGGCACGACCATCGTGCATGCCTAAACAAAATCGAGACTCGTCACTAAAGACAATACTGTTCCATTCCTGATCCCAGAGTGACCGTTGTCTGCACCACTCAAGGCGATTACGTCGGTGTTCTCGAGTTAAAGGGAGGACCCAGTGTGGCCGGTATGAAAACAAGCCAAAACTTCTCATTCGTCGGTAAACACTTCGCATGCCAATAGGTCTTCCGTGTTCTGCAAACCATTCATTTGCAATGGACCTGGTAGTGGAGAAAACGGTCCCTTAAGGCCAATATTCTTAGGCGGCGATCTTCACGGTCTGTTGCTCTACGGTGGCGTTCAGTGCCCCTTGCTCTTTGCGTACGGCCTTCTCGAAGCCATGCCTGACAACACCCAACCACGGTGTCTACACTTCTTTGCACTCTAACTGCAATTGCCCGAAAAGAAAGTCCAGCTTCCCGAAGTCCCACTATACGGCCCCTATCAAACTCACTAAGTTGACGAAATCGTACAGGTCTCCGTACTCTAGGCATCGTAACCGATCGTAAAGGATGTCAAGAACCAAAATCCACCAACGTTGATTCTTTACTGCGGCTGAAATATTCATTTTTAGAGCGTTAGTGAATTAAAAAAAAGCAGTATAAAAACCGGAATGTCCAACTGATAAGGCTGAAAATTTTTTCACTTGTTATTTACAGTAAGATAAATACATTCACCAACTTTTATCAAAATAAAACCATTTAAACTGGGTGTT